TGGCTATGTCGCTGGACTCCCATGTAGTCGACCACAGTTCAAGTCCTGGACCCAGTGGCTTAAAACTCACGCCAGGCATGTGTGCGTGTGTGCCCAAGATCCCAAGAGGAGAATAGAGGAAAAGAGACTGCGGTGTGGCCATCCCCCCTGGGGGGTGATTTCTCGCTTTCTGTCTCTCTGTCTCTCTCTGTCTGTCTGGCGAGTGCACATGCTCTGTAGCAAAAACCTCTCAAAAAAATAAATAGATAAAAAAAGTAAAATATTTCTTAAAAAAGAAAATATTGGTAGACATGATACTGCAGAGTCAGAGACTTTTAAAGTTTTTCTTTAGTAGTTTGCTTGATCTCTTGTGCTTTTTTCTTTGTGTTTCTTTCAGAGAGGGTCTTCCTATATAACAATCCTCCTGCCTCAGTCTTCCAAGTCACTTGGACTATATGTTCTGCCACTGCAGCCAGCTTTTTTTGATGGGTCAGGAATCAAACGGGGCTTCCAGGTGGACTTACCCTGCCAGTAGCGGCATCTACCAATGCGCACCAACACAGCTTGCCCAATCTCTGTACTTTTGGTCTTCATCATGGAAAACGTGTGCCCCAAGCCAGCCAGTTGCTTCGTGGTTAAGCAGCTGGCTCCTACATGACTAACTGCGCCATTCACGCCCCCAACCCTATGGCTTGAAAAACACACCAAGGTACACATGCACGGGTACCCAAACTCTTTAAAGGAGGGAGAAAGGAAGGAGAAGGGATTGCGATGTGTTCATGTCTCATAGGGGTGATTCCTCACTCTCTCTCTTCTCTAGTGAGTACATGTGCCCTCTGGAAAATTTTAAAAAGAGAGAGAAAGAGAGAGAGAGAGAGGTGCATGTCCCAAAATAGCACTTGTCCCAGAATAAAGAGATGCACGAAGCAGACCACAATTTAACCTGTAGCCCAAAGCAGTTATCCATGCTGACCCCAACCCCTGAATGAGAAATAAGCATTTGTTGTTATAAGCCACTGAGATCTTTAGATTGTAGCTTTTTATGGTAATAACCAACAACACCCATGAAAAACTGTAGCCTTAAGAGATCATCAGCTCCTTTGATGATACAACCAAATCTGAAGTGTTCACAAGTGGGTGGTCACTGATTTCTTATTTAATGTATCGCCATTATGGTAACTAAAGCCACCTCCAGTGGTTCAATCTACCCAGAATTTCTTTTCTCTTATTTAGGGAAATGTTCTCTCTCTCTCTCTCTCTCTCTCTCTCTCTCTCTCTCTCATCTATTCTCTGTTTTTCATGCAAACCATCTATCAACAGCTCTATTGAAGACTGATAATCAGAGTACACAGCCCTCTTGGTCACACTGATTGTTCCAATGATGATGACATGACCTAAGCAGGACCAATTAGAGCTTTCCCCCAGGAATCTTTCAGTGCTGGGTCAGCAGGGGGTCATATCCCCTCTCTCTGCATGAACAATGCCTACTGATAATAAGGGAGAACGAAGCAAATGCTGAGAAGGAAACAAAGGTACTAGACAAAGGCAGTAATTTCTGGATGAGTTCTATTCTCTTTTATCTTATTTTTAATTGGCACATAATAATTATATAGGCCCAGCCTCGATGGTATAGGTCATAGCGTATTGAACTTCAATGTGGGTCACATGCCGAACTGACCTGAAAACATGCATGATACACTCATGGCCAAGATCCTGAGGAGCTGAAAGACTACGGGAAGGGAATCATAGCATGACAGAACCCTGTTGAAGGTACTTCTCTCTCTCTCTGTCCCTCTCGCATGTGTGTGTATTCTCTCTCTCACAAAATTAACTTTTAAAAAAAGTTGTACATACTTGGGGGTACAATGTCATAGTTCAATATACATAACTGAAATGTGCAGTAATCCACAGGGTAATCAGCATACCCATCACACCAAACATTGATCATTTTTTGTGTCAGGAACATTAAAAGTTTCTTCTAGGTATTTTGCGATACATAATAAATTGTTTACTATAATCACCCTATAATGTTGTAGAACACTGGAAACAATTCCTCTTATCTAACTATAATTTTGCACCTGTTTGTATATCTAATCTTTGTTTCAAACTAATGTTTTGTTCCTCGAAACCAAGAATCTTGGGCCAGCCTCACAGCCCATGGTTAAGAAAGCCAGATACCGGGAACCAGCAGTTAGCGTAATGGCTATGTCGCTGGACTCCCACGTAGTCGACCGCGGTTCGTGTCCCGGACCCGGTGGCTTAAAACTCACGCCGGGCGTGTGTGCGTGCGTGCCCAAGATCCCGAGAGGAGAATGGAGGAGAAGGGATTGCGGCGTGACCATCCCCCCTGGGGGGTGATTTCTCGCTTTCTGTCTCTATGTCTCTCTCTGTCTGTCTGGCGAGCGCACGCGCCCTACAGTGAAAATCTCTCCAAGGGAAAAAAAAAAAAAAAAAAAGAAAGCCAGATACCATATGGCTGACTGTGTGGTTCAAATCCCAGTCCTAGTGGATTGAAAAACATGCATGTGTATGCATGGCCAAAATTCCAAAAAGATGGAAAAATGGGGGAGAACAGATTACAGTGTGACCACATCCCATTGGGGAGGGCTGTCTTCCTCTCCCTTTCTCTGTCTCTCTCTCTGGTGAACTGATATATACATATCAAAAAGGAGAAAAAAAAGAATTTTGGGGACCAGCAGTTAGCTTAATGGCTACTTCGCTGGACTCCCATGTAGTCGACCATGGTTCAAGTCCTGGACCCGGTGGCTTAAAACTCACACTGGGCACATGTGCGTGCGTGCCCAAGATCCCTAGAGGAGAGTGGAGGAGAAGGGATTGCAGTGTGGCTATTCCCCCCCAGGGGGGGTTATTTCTCACTTTCTGTCTCTCTGCCTCTCTCTATCTGTCTGGCAAGCACATGCACCCTATAGCAAAAACCTCTCCAAAAAAATAATAATAATAATTTTGACAAATAATTTTCTGCCTTTGCTTCCACTGCTGCAGTCTTTTTCATCTGACATTCTTCTTTTCATCTTCCTACCACAGCATCCACATTTAGAGTCGTCTCTTTGTCACCCCTCTGCTTTCACACTGCCTTCCTCTCGCTATATGTCCATGGACAGCTCTCACTCCAACATCCTCACTCTCAGCGAGCCGTGAACAAGACTAGACACAGAGTTCCTCGAAGACTGCTGGGTTTTGGCTCTCTTCCAACCTGAAATGCATCACTGCTCCAATCAGGAGAACCCTGGATGTTGGAGGGAGGGATCATGGTTCAAAGATTTTACACAAGAGAAAAAGACTCTGCAGAAAGGGATTGCGGGCTGGCAGGTACCTGAGTCTTCTCAGAAAAAAATATGACCAGCCTGTACCATTCTTGGTCTATCCTCTTAAAACTACTGGTTTGCTCATCTGCATTATTGTTCCTTAACCATTTGTATGGACAATCAAGGTTGACAGGAAATTAAAGCAGAAACAGTTTTCTATTTAGAGAATACTATGAAATGGGGAACTATTTGGAAAATACTTGTTCTGTAGGTTCCAATAATATAACTTAGCCTCCAATTCTTTCACGTTTCTAAGATCTTCTTGGTGCCATTACATCTCTATGACTGAAATGAATTCTCCAGCGGGCCAGACATAACAGTAAAATGCGATGCTCTGCGAGGCTGACATGCCTAGGAGGGTTTTGGGTTCACTTCCAGAGACTTCCTTGAGGATACAAGGCACATGTGTGCCCATGATCCAGGGCTGTCTGCTGGAGGTAGATCATTGAGTCAAGACTCTGTTGAGGTCACTGTCTCTGTCTCGTTCCCTCATGAAATTAATTAATTAGGTTAAGTAATTAACCTGACAGTTCTCATGTCTAGTATCTTCTCCCAAATAGAAAGTTGGAAATAAGATGATTCATTCACTTATGTAATTTGACATTAATATTACTTAATTACATACAACTCACTTTGGTTTTTTAATTATTTCTAAATTTGTCAATAATTATTCAATCAAGCATATCTTGTTTTCTCCAGCTTTTTATATTGAAAAGTACCCAAACTCACAGAAATAATTAATGCCCAGGATAGTCTGATGAACAGCCATACCCTCTTAACTTAGATTCATCTATTAACTTTGTATTGATTGTCAAAATTACATATACTGTATCAGGCAGAGGTCATGAAGATGAAAAAGACACAATATGTGCCCCAAAGAGCTCAAGATCTGGTCCAGAGATGCCCAGGAACAAAAGTTCTGGTAGTAGACTACATTAAGAATCTCTGACTGAGGTGGTCCACAGGGGAGCCCAAGGAACTGAATGGCTAATGAACTCAACAAGTGGCTCTTTTATAAAGCCAGGCTTGAGGCTGCTGGTCTCAAAGAAAGAGAAAACAAAGCAAGAGGAATACTAGGACAGGCTGAATTAAAGATATGCAAATACTGTGTGGAAATAGCAGGACTGGATGATTCAGATGAAGCTAATTGAAATATCTCAAGTGGAGCTAAGTATGAGGGTGTGGCAACAGGTCTTCAATCAGGTTCTAGAAACCTCCATTTATTAACTTTCATACTCTCCTGCTATGGTACAAGGTACTCAAACTCCCATAGCTCTTGGAAATTTCTAGACCATGCATTAAGAGACTTTCTCATTTGTAGAAAGGGGTGAATACTTTTCCCCATCTATTTCACAGGACTGTGGTATGAATCAAAGAGAAGAAAGCTCACCAACATCCTTTGTTGTCTAGCAAGCCATTTATACACATAGAATAATGATTATCGCCCTCAGTCAGTGGATCCATCTTCACAGTCACACCATCCCCATGCGTCTGAATGCTACTTCCTCCAACAGCTTAGTCACAAAATGTGTGAAAAAGCACAGAACACACACACACCAAGTCTTTATTAACCTCACTTTGGATGATGCTGGCAACTCACAGCCATGCAATAAACTTTTATTGGCTAATTAATTAATAGATTTTTTTTTTCCAATTAGAATCTCTCTCTCTCCAGAGATGAAATGAAGTGGTTTGACATATTTCTGCTCTTAGACCATTTCCCCTACTTGATGTATGAGCTCACGATAACAAACAGATATTCCTTCTCAAAGAAAATATAAAACTGCCCTGAGCAACAGGCTCTGAGACAAGTCCCCTCCTTATTTCATACAGAGAGAGAACAAGCTCCCCGTAAACGGCTGATTTGTGAATCAAATCACCATTCTTTGTTTCTTGGTTCTTCGCATCCCCAAGCACAAACAGAATCATCAGATCCAGTCCGATGCTTTTTCTCGAGCAGGGCCAGACTTCCCTGGTGACAGTCGCTGCGACTGTATCTTCCCCACACCGTTTTAGAGTAAACCTGTCATCAGGAAGGCTGCGTGGGATGCCTAACTGGTTTGCCTGACTTTTTCTGTTTCTTGTTAAGTATCCTCAGAAGGGGGACCCATACTGGAAGCCTGCTGTGTGTAATTAAGAGATAATTGTAGTTGTCTCGGCATTTCGTGCTGCTGTACCATTAGCTTATTTGCAAGTGGTGCCTAAATGTGGTTAAGAAGATGATTTCAGAAATGAATAAAGAATACATTTTGCAGGACGAAATGTGTGATCATTGGAGAGAGCACTTTACCGTGTTTTGCCAAGATACACCACGTTTTAGCTTGATGTTTTTAAATGAAGCTTGATGTTTTTAAACTAAGCTACTCGCTTTGGTTTTCGGGGGCGATCACCCTGTATTTTGTCCTGTGTACAGCCTTGAAGATTCTGTCTTTTTAAACCATAGCTCTTCTTCTTCAGAGATGTACGAGGCAGTCTCTGGACAACTGAGTATTATTAAATGCTTTCTGGGACAGTGAATAATGATTCCCAATAAATTTTGGAGCAAGCCTATTCAATTTCATTAACATTAGCTAGATGAATAAATTGTCTGCTTTATCCTGGGTGTGACTTTTTACTGTTCCACTGTATGATGAATGCTGGTGAGTTATTTATGGAAAACATTTTTCCTCAAACAATGTAATGAAAACATTATTCATCTCACTGAAGAGTAGATGGAGAAGTAAAAAGAAAAAAGAAAAAAAAAAAAGGCCAAAATACAGGCAGTTGCTTTCTCTATTGAACTCTATGCTGGGTTGTGCTCTTTCCAATAATTTCTATTAAGGGATCTTGCCAGTTCTACACAGTAAGACTGAGCTATGCGTGCAAACATATATCCCTGATAGGCGTCTGGCCAAACTGTGTCATTGCCTAATGGAACCTTGCAGCAGTGTTGTGATTTCTTCACTTAGACCCTTGACAGGAGTAGAAGTCTATAAAAAAAATTGACAAAATTTGAGAAGGCATTCGTTTGCATTGGACACAATTGTATAAATTTCTTTCTTAACACTGCTCATCTGAGTAAGATATTCTCTTTTTTATTTTTTTTTTGCATTTAGAGATGATTATACAAGAGTTACATCCCACATTACATCCCCCCCCTTTTTTTAAGGGAGACCTTTGCAATAATTACACCCTTTCACTTGGTGATAGTTACCATAAATAGCATAATCTTAGAATTGTCATTATTATCAAATATTTATCGAGTCCTCCTTCCTGGCATGCGGAGATTGTGGAGATTTATAGAGATGATTAGAAACAGCCAGTGTTCTCAGTAGTTTATAATCTAAAGACAGAGGCGATTCAACAGAGCATAAAAGATACTGTTCTCGTGAAGCTTAGAATGCCATGAGCTACTCCTTCTGTATTTGTCCCTCTCATTGCTCTTCTTGAATCTCCTGTCTTAAATGGGTTCTCCCAAAAATCAGTCCCTGAGACAAGAATTTGGGTACAAGTCATTCTGTTGGCAAGTAATCACAAATGTGAGGAAGGACAGAAAGATAGGAAAGAGAAGAAAATCAGTAAAAGGCATGTCAATGAGCACGTTCCTGCTGTGGGCAACAGGGCTCAGCCCTGCTGGGGACCTACTGAGCTCCAAATTGTCAGGAGATGTGGATATTTATCCTCCAACTCCTGCCCTGTGGTTGAGGGTTACTACTGGGACATTAAATCCCAGGCACTGCCGGCATCCTCCTTACACAGGCCCAGCACAACCCACTGCCAGAAGAAGTCTTCCGGCACAGAAATGCAGAAGAGAGGAAGCTGTCTAGCAGATAAAGGAAGTTTGCACGGAAGATGCAGGTAACCTAGGGGCTGAGGGCGCCAGGGAGAGGTGAGTGGGGCATTCACAGCATCTGCTATATTTCCTTTTCCAGTTGGACAAAAGTTCGTCCAGGCCCAAAGACAGTATCAGAATACCTAGAATTTGAGACCAGCAGTTGGCGTAATGGCTATGTCGCCGAACTCCCATATAATCAACTGTGGTTCGAGGCTCGGACCCGGTGCCTTAAACTCACGCTGGGCACGTGTGCATGCGTGCCCAAGATCCCGAGAGGAGAATGGAGGTGAAGGGATTGCGGCATGGCCATCCCCTCTGGGGGGTGATTTTTTGCTTTCTGTCTCTCTGGTGAGTGCATGCACCCTGTAGCAAAAACCACTAAAAAAAATAAATAAATTAATTAATTAATTAAAAAAACCTAGAACTCAAACCATTATTTTAAAATGACCTTTTTTAAAAAAAGAATTATTTATTATTATATTTTAATTTGACCAGAAAGAGACAGAGACAGATAAAGAGAGAGAGGAGGAAAGCAAGAGAGCAAGCCGCCAGGTCTGGGACACGAACCACATTCAGCCATGTGGGAGTCCAGCGCCTTAACCACCATAAAACCTACCAGTTCCTCAAACCACTTTAAATGCCATATACTTCCTTTATACTGAAAATTAGGTAGTGTCTAATTTAGTCTTGAGTAACCCATTCTGATTTTAAATAGCCCAGCAATTAGCACCCATGGCTGAATCATTTTTTTATCACAAGTGTGATACATTGCTTTTTTTTCCCATCGTCATTTTTCTCTTAAAGGGCAATGGGTACCTAAGAAAAGAAATTATTCACCTTATATAAGACCACAATTGTCTCAAAAGAATAAAAGTGAAATCTGTGCTAAGCAAAATAGTATATACTTTATTGTCACCAAGCAACTGCATATTATATTTCTGAGGTTCTGGCCATGCTAAGCAAGATCAATAAATGCAATGTAATGAGATTGAATTAAATAAAATCTATTTTTAGTGACTGCCTTCATGACAAAGAGTAGCCAGCTTGAAGGCCTTCTGCAATTTCTTAAAAGGTTACCACCTTTTGGTGACCAACAGGTGGCATCGTTGTTAAAATGCTGGACTCCCAAAGGGCCAACTGCATTTGAAGTCCGGACCTGGCAGCTTGCTTTCTTACATTCCCTTTCTCTCTCTCTCTCTGGTCAAATCAAAAAATAAATAATAATAAGACATAAAATTAAATAATTTTAAAACAAAAGGGTAATATGAATGACATAAAGATAGTATTTTTTTTTTAATTTCCTACAAGGCACATGCACCCCTGGAGAGAGAAGAAAAGCAAGAATGCACCCCCCATGGGGATGGCGACATCACAGTCTGTCTCCATCTCTCCCCCCATTTATGATTTCTTCACGACGATTTTTTTTCACATTATTTATTATTTGTTTTTTGTATATACTTTTAACCATATTGTTTGGCTTACAATGAGACCATTTAGATATATGCACATTTCTCCCCAGACCCGTTGATCAAAATATCTTTAACAGATAACACCACACCTCCCCATCCGGTCAATGCTCTACCTCTGTATCCCTTCTCCAAATGTCCTTCGTTAGGCCCCACTCCTCCACATACACCTCGTCTGACATTCACACCCATCTCTTGTGTTTGTTCAACCGTTAGTCAATCAGTTTCAGTCATAGAAAGCAGACATACGGTATATGTTAAGTGGGGACATACGATGTCTCTCCTTCATAGCCTGGCTTGCCTCACTCAGCAGTACATCTTCCATACTCTTCCACTTTCTGTCAAAAGCCAGGATTTTTTAAGAGATATCTCCTCTTCCCTGACTTGCTTAAGATAGTTGCATTCTCCTGTAATACCCTCTTGACTTGTCCCAAGCTGATTGTTCACCATAGTTCTTTTGCTTTGTTTTGTTTTGTTTTCATTTCTGCCAGGGGGTTGCCTGCACTCATGGGATAAAGAGAGAGAGAAAAAATAACAAAGCGCCCCTCATGGGAAATGGTCACAGCACAATCTCTTCTCCTCCATTTCTCCCTCCTTTTGAGGTTTTTTGGGCATGTGTGCAATGCTCCTGGCATGTTTCTCAAACTGCTTGGTGCAGGACTTGGACCACACAGTAGGCCATGTGGGATCTAGCCACTTTAACCACCATGCCACTCACTGGTCCAACAGAGTACCTTTCCAATGAACAGAAGCAAGGTGTGACTGGGAAAAACCTGCAAACAGACAGCATGGTCACAACCTTCTGGAAATGAGGTGGGGCAAAAATGCATAAAATAAATAAAGGCAAATGGAAATACCGACGGTGGTTTTTTATAGACACTTACATGGACAGGACTACAGGGCGTGTGGAAGAGGCAGAAAAGAAAATGGGCAAATTTAGGAAATGCTGTTGTATCACTTATGGTTCCAGCACAAAAAAGAAAATGGGCAAATTGGGGAAATGCTGTTGTATCACTTATGGTTCCAGCAAAAACACAAGGCACACTCAAAACTGAGTCAGGGGGCCACCAAGTGGGGTGGTGGTTAAGAACACTGGACTCCCATGGGGCCAACCATGGTTGAAGTCCCTGACCTAGCAGCTTGCTTTCTCTCTCTCTCTCTCTCTCTCTCTCTCTCTCTTTCCTCTGTCCCTCTCTGGTCAAATTAAAATAAATAAATAAAGTTAAATAACTCTTTTTAAAAAATGTTAAAACTGAGTCAGCTGACAGGAGTTTAATAAATGGATCATTTATGCAAGTGTGGATAGGATTAGGGAAACTTCAATGAATAGTATAGTTTTCAGGTCTGTACTGGCCAGGAGAGGATTCGGAGAGGAGTGAGAGAAGCTGCCAGTAATCAGAGAGAGAACTGCGAGGGGACGGTCACCTGACAGGAGCAGGGTCATGGTGTCAGCAGGGCAGATGCCAGGGAAATAGGTAACTGCAGCTCCCCTCCCAGTCCTTAACTGGAATAAGGGGCCGTGTTGATGGAACTCATCCAGCTCAGTCCCAGTGGGCAGAGGCCCTGCTGGAGAGAGTACCTAGACGGCTAAAGGAGGTATCCAGCCCCACACTCCTGTGAGAGGACTTACTTAATCCACGTACAAGTTAGATGAGAGAGACCATCTGCACCCCAGTATTCCTGCTCTTTCTGAGTAATTCTGATGCTGACTTGAGAGAAGGCAAGGAGAAGCCTGCCATCTCTAGACAGTAAGATGTCCCCTCAAGTCAAGTGCGAGAGACAGGCTATTCAGTCACGACAATGACGGAGCGTCAGAAATGTCAGGACCCCATTTATAACAGTAAAGACGATGTGTAGCTCCCTGAGTCCCGTTCATGTGTGAGAGAAGAGTCACCATGATCATAAATTAGCAGATTCCCCCTGCACACCTGGACATTTGTAGAATATGACCTTGTGTCTCAGAAATTTTAGGAGTCTCCACGGTGCTCCTAAGCATAATTGCATTAGGCTGGGAACAACTGCTTAGAATGCCCTGGGGGGTATAAACAGTGTTCTGTTCGTGGACCTGCCTCAAGTTAAATACATTTTTAAAAAATCTTTCAATGAGGGAACCAGCAGTTAGCGTAATGGCTATGTCGCTGGATTCCCACATAGTCGACCGCGGTTCGTGTCCCGGACCCGGTGGCTTAAAACTCACGCCGGGTGCGTGTGCGTGCATGCCCAAGATCCCGAGAGGAGAATGGAGGAGAAGGGATTGCGGCGTGACCAACCCCCCTGGGGGGGTGATTTCTCGCTTTCTGTCTCTATGTCTCTCTCTCTCTGTCTGGCGAGCGCACGCGCCCTACAGTGAAAATCTCTCAAAAAAAAAAAAATCTTTCAATGAAAGACACCCGGAATTCCCCCACTCCAGGAGCTTGGCACTCCTTGCCACCTCCGCATCCTCTTGTGGGAAGAGGTAGTTGACTGACTCAGGTGGCTCTCCTCCTCTCTGACAGTTTGCAGCAACTTCTCTCACTGCAGCTTAAGAAAATCCCATGTGGGGACCAGCAGATGGCGTAGTGGTTATGTCGCTGGACTCCTGCATAGTCGACCACAGTTCAAGTCCCAGACCTGGTGGCTTTAAATTAACGCTGGGCACTTGTGTGTGTGCCCAAAGTCCTGAGAGGAGGATGGAGGGGAACGGATTGCA